TAAAAAGATAAGGTTCTCTAAGGTATTTTTTTAAAAAAGAATGCTACCACTTTGCTACACTTTTATTTTATTTTATTTATTTTTTTTAAAAAAAAAAACCTTTATAAGTAGAACACAATCTTTTATCTTCTTACCTACTCTGGAATGTTCGAAAATAGGAAATTTCTCATTAAAAAAACAGAAAAAAAAGTCAATAAAATGTAGATTTTTATTCGATTTAACAGTATTATTTTAATATTTTATTAATATTTTAACTTACTTTCTATTATTAAATTAATAACAAACAAAGAAGGAGAAGGAAACTAACTGGTATAAACACATACACATCCTTATCGAACTGAATAGGAAGAAAATGGAAACCGTTTAAGTAGGAAAAAATAAAGTATTTTTAATGAATTTTTATTTTATTTTATTATTTTATTTTTTGCATTTGTGATAAACAGTTTGTATATGAAAGTGAAAATGATATTGAATTCCTTTCACGCATTTTTATCTTTGCTGATAACAGCTCTTTTCTTAGCATCTAATACAATGTTCTTTAAATGAGTGATTTTTATTTTTGCTTTTTATTTTATTTTATTTTACTTTACTTTTTTTTTATTATTTTATTCCCGCAAAGCACTCTACTTGATTGTAATTCTTGGCAGTATAAACAACTGTAAAAAGTACACAATGCTTAATTAATTATCACGTTTAAATATATTTTTTTATTTATTTAAATTTCGCAGCTATTACATTTCATAATTTCGATTCGAATCACTCTTAATTTTGTGAGTAAAAAAAACAATTGCCCCCCAAAAAAATTCCCCAAAGTAAAATGTCTGAAGTCGATACGTGGGATCCTTTAATTAATTCAAATTTGTAAGGACCCCACGAAGGTATAACGTGTATTGCTAGGGGGGTGATGTAAAAGTGACAATCATAACGAAGACAAATTTATGCATACCAAAAGTATTGTTTATCTATAATTCTAATACAACTTATTTCGAGTTTTCGCGAATTTTTTTCTTTTTTAGTTTAAATTTTATTCCTAAAGTCTCTGTAGGGAACCAACACCCACATTATCTTTCTCCCCCTCCCTCCCCTTAAGTACTCCACAGCTTTCGAGTTTAGTTAGATACGATTATATTTTTCTTTGATAACGAATCTTTGTTATGAAGTTTTCCACAAAAATAAAGTCGAGAAAAATACATTTAAACTTATGTTTACATTAATATAGAAAAGTAGTAGTCAGCAAAAGTTTTCTTAATGTAAAGTTATGAAAATTGTCTGGGAAATTTGTGAACTTGTTACAAACACACACTGAATTTCCCGGAAAGATGTAGCCTGTATACCCACTTCTTTCCAAAAAAAAATTTGTTTTTTTCCTTTTTTAAATGATACTTTTGGCAAGTTCGACTTGACTTTACTTCGTTTTTAAAACTAACACTACTCATTATTTTGCCATTTCTTTATTTTTCTTGCCATTTCTTTTTTTTCTGATTAGGAAAAAATATGAATAGAAAGAACAGATGTGTTCGCATTCACCCACGCATCTTATTTATAAATACATAAAGAGTCAAAAACTCTCAAATTTTTCCATTTTTATTCGCTCTTGTATCCAATTAATTCGTCTCTTTCGAATTTAGGACGTAACAGAAACTCTAAATCTCTTAATGCTGTCATTTATCCTGATTGCTGCTACATGTATATTTAATTAAGCTTTTATCTACTACCGAATCTAAAAAGTGAATATCTTTAATATTGCATTTGATTAATCAAACGGCAGTTCTTATTATTTAATTTTATATTTAAGTATTTTTATTTTTGTGCCATCTTCCGCATTAGAGAAGAGTATGATGCTGGAGATCACGCTTATAATAAAATATAGCAAACGCTGCGTTATTGTAGTGGCAGGGACTGGCTACTATTGTGCATCATTTACGACAAATTCAGCTGATATTATTTCTTAAGAGTAGCGTACAGTACATCACGTACAGTATACCGCTAGAAGCCAGCGTATAACTTCACCCCGCTCCGGATGTGTTTTAAATAAAATTATTCTGCGCCACTCGTAGAGGTAGTGCGGAGATGATTTGCATATCCGGACGTTTTGCATGATTTTTAAGGGTGCTTTCTCCCCATCTAATGCCGATTTAAGTCGGGTGACTATTTATAGAAAGTAGAGAGAAGAGTTTACTCCCCTCTCCACCTTCTCGTAAAGGCAGGGAGAGAGTTTATGATTGACCAAGTTTTGTTATTTTTCTTGCTTCTTCTTTCGTCCGTTTGGAACCTTTGACCGCTAGTACCGTATAAAGAAAGTACCTAAACGCCGCAGAAATGTACTGGTCGATTGCTGCACCAATCAGACAGCGCGGACTGTCAAAAACGTGTAGACGTACATTGGCCACCAGCAGATGGAGCCGTAGATGCTCGAGTAACGGCACTTTCACGACATCGTGTAAAACGCGTAGAAACGAGACATGTGACAATAAGGTGTATGCTCTTCCCCGTTCGGGACAAGAAAGGTCGTCATGTGCGCCATGGTTGCGACCAACGATCAAAAGTGCAAACTGAGTGCCAGAGGGTGACGAAAGGTAGGAGAGATTTCTGATACTTTGAAAAAGAGAACTAAACCGTCCGAAACAGTGATTCGTTGGTTTGCGAACCGTGCCCATGAGGAGGAAGTGTCAACGCCCGTCCCCGGATCGGCCAAAGAGTCTCTGGTCCATTGGCTGGTCGCTACATTAGAGGGCCTCGCCGGGGACTTGCGAAAGAGAGTTAGCTACCCTCGTAGGCGGGAGCCCAGGGTAGACACCAGCATCCTGGAGAGGGAAGGGGTCGGAATGTTGGACGTGTTGAGGGGTTTGAAGAGCCTGCTAAAGGTCAGCCGAGTTCACATAGATAACAATGTATTTCGCCTTCACTACACCGTCACAGTTCTTGTTCTTTTGGCCTTCTGCATCATAGTCACCACCAAGCAGTACGCCGGTGAACCTATCAATTGCATTCGTAGCACAGACATCCCCGAAACGGTGATCAACACTTTCTGTTGGATCCACACTACTTTCACCATCCCCGGAGCTTACAATAAGATAGTTGGTAAAGAGGTGCCCCATCCAGGTATAGATGCCTCTCAAGATGCCTCCAATTTTAAATATCATCGCTACTATCAATGGGTATGTTTTATGTTGTTTTTTCAAGCCGCCCTTTTTTATATACCACGTTGGTTGTGGAGAATGTGGGAGGGAGGAAAGATCCAGGCTTTGATGATGGATTTGGATGTGGGATTATGCGGAGAAGCAGAAAAGAAGCAGAAGAAGAAACTATTAGTGGATTATCTCATGTGCAGTTTAAGGCATCACGACTGGTACGCTGCCAGATATTTCTTGTGCGAAGCCATTGCCTTCAGCAATGTGGTGGGACAGATCTTCCTTATGGATAGATTCTTCGATTGTGAATTTCTCACCTATGGCCTAGAAGTGATTAAATTCTCCGAAATGGACCAAGAAGACCGGACGGATCCCATGATAAGAATATTTCCACGCGTCACCAAGTGCCGTTTTTATAAATACGGCGCGTCTGGCAACGTAGAAACGCACGATGCCCTTTGTATCCTACCTTTAAATATTATCAACGAGAAAATATACATATTTCTCTGGTTCTGGTTCATCATTTTGGCTGCCCTTACGGGTATCGTGCTGATATTTCGTCTAGTCATCGCAGCCTGTCCGCCAGTTCGGGTCTACCTACTCAATATGAGATTTCGGGTGCTGCACCTGGACCACGTACACACGGTAGTGCGCAGGGGATCCATAGGTGACTGGTTTCTCATATACATGCTAGGACAAAATATAGATTCTGTTATATTCAAAGAAGTTATCGCCGATATGGCTAAGAAAATGACCACCGAACCCAAAGAATCCGCATGACCAAGAAAATGAGTAGCATGATAAATTTTTACACTAAGAGTGCCTATATAAACACAATAATTCTTCCGTCATGTTATGTACTTTAGAACATAAGTATATAGCCTTCTCTTCTTCAAACAATTTTAAAATTACTTCAGGACTATTTAAAGAAAAATTATTACTAAAAAAAAAAAAAACCTTAATTCAGGCACTGCCATCACGTTTCTATTTCATTCAAAGATTTTTTTCCCTTCTAAATAATTATGTATATATATACATATATATATTTAAAATTTATAAATTACAAATTATTTTGAAAGTTTATATATTTTAACTTTTTAAATTATAATCTGTGTTATTAATATTTACATAATAAAGCAAAAACTTTTTGTAAAATTTGAAATTATTATTAAGGAATTATTGACTGATTTAATGGACTTTGAGAGTTTTCCGACTCAACTTACACTCGCTCCAAACTCTGGACCTCATCCTGTAACTCTTCTTGGGAGACCTTTAACATGTGGCGAACTTAAAATACTTGGTATTTAGAGTAATTTAATGTAAATTTCAAGTAAAATATAAAAGTTTATTTATTATATGACAAATTCATTACAGGTTATAGAACAGAAATTCAGGGAGTAACTAGCCTCTGCTATATAAAAGATTTAAATAATTTGAAGGAAAGTTATTTTGCAGTTGATGTTATTCCAGTTCTTCCTCATCTGGAAATAACAACAAGTCTTCCAACATCAAACACATACTCTGTTCATAAAGATATTGGACCAGCTGTAACTAGTGGTGTAACAAATTTATATTGTGGAGAAAGGTAATTTTTCATATTATTGTGTAAATATGAAAGAAAAAATAATTAATTGTCTTCCATGTAAAGTATATTTTTTTTCATTCAACTGCAAAGCTTTGTTAGTTATACCTCAGTTTCATTTACTTAAAATTCCATATATAAAGTAAGTAACATTAGACTTTGTTAAATTTTATAATTACAGGTAGCTCTCGGTTTATGCCGGCTTAATTTACACCAATTCACAATAACACTGCTGTGCAATTTGCATTATTGTGAATCAGTTTACACTGACATCGATTCACAATAATGCTGCTGCACAATTCTCTGTTTTGCCGTGTAATTCCCTGATTTTCCCTATGCTAAACTGATTTTTGTTTCAGTGTTGACGTATTTACTGAGCCGCAACATTGTACATTTTTAAAACAAAGATTTTTATTGAATATATTTATTTTTTCTGTTTAATATTATTGGGTATGTATACATTTACATTAAATTAATA